GCTACCTACAATCCTCCACAGGTTATATTTTCTGCTGAATAACCAAGACTAAAGAATAATGGGCATTGCTAGGGCAGAGGCATGAATGTGTTTTGTGCCTTTCTGAGATGGGAAGAGACAAAAAAATCCATTCAGATTGTTTTGCTTAAGGGGCACTTCTGTCCTGACAGAACAAACAAATGTCAGAATAAATTAGATTATCAAGTGCTGTCTCTGTGATAGAGAGGATAGTCCTTCTGTGTCTTTAATGATTGTATCAAACCTTTTTTGGAATGACAAATTTCAGCCACACCAGAATTGCATTTGTAGCCTTCACTTGCTGGTACCGATAATGATATATTTCACCCTTTTCCTGTTAGTAACATAATTTTGCCCAATAATTCAATTTTTATATACTGTAGTTCCAGGACCTTGTGATCCTGAAGATTTAATTGATGGAATCATATTTGCTGCCAATTATCTTGGTTCTACTCAACTCCTTTCGGACAAAACTCCATCCAAGAATGTGAGAATGATGCAGGCTCAGGAAGCAGTGAGCCGAATCAAGGTGAAAATCAGTCTCTCTTTTTCTCTCGATGTTTCAGAGTTGCAACCATGAATGATCCATGCTTTCTCTCTATATTGAAACATACTCGAGAAGTAGTTCTATGATTATTTTTACATGTTTGTTATTCTTATGCACAGTCTGCTTTCATAATTTGTAGATTAACTTGTATAACTTTGTTACAATTGAGTCCACTGGGCAGCTAATAAATTTAAGTAAATAAGTAAATAAATAAATAATCTGTGGATAAAAGAGGGATCTGGGAAAAATTCATTATCTTTGCACTTCTTTTAAGCGCTTCATTCATTGGGATTTGCAGTGTCCTAAGAGAACAGGGTGACTTTGGATCTTTTGAGAAACATGTTTTTGAGTTGCATCAGAAAAGGAAAAAAAAAAAGGAATAGTCTGAACCAGCTGAAGATCTGCTCCTACGTATTAATGACCTAGTAAAGGAGCAATGTTAAGATGAACATCATGAGGAGGGTTAATTTGGAATCTTACCCTTGAAGATGCAGTCAATGAATTGGATGTCTGGTAGGGAGGGCCTGCTGAACCAGACCAATCCCAACTTGTCCCTCTTCCTTTTGCAGTTTTTTCAACTTTGGACTCTGGGCCTTTTAATGTTTGTAAGGCTAACTCAGCACTAACTGCTGCAGGCCTGTCTCTTGGGCTCAGCATTTAACAACTTGCTTAAAATTGGTGGCTGAGGCTTCTTAAGAAGCTGATGGCACTCCTGGAATTAGGGATTGTTTGCCATGCTGAGTAGCCATAATAAGAGCAGCGAACAGGTTTTAGATGGAGCTTTGATGGCAAGTGGAGTTGCTACGTCAGTAGCAATCAAAAGCTGTTCCAGAGAGACCTGAAGGTGCATGGACATGTTCTTTAATTAAGGCCTGACAATGAAGATAGGCCCCTGTGGTTGCCCTTTATCCAGACACAAAGAGTGCTCATCTGAAAGGCGAATCTTGTTTCTACAGTTGTCGGCTTGTTAACAGCAGCTGGGCTCAGAAGGTCAAAATTGCCAAAACACATTGAGCAACTTCTCAGAAACAGTAGGATTACAATAAGCCAAGACATTACTGATGTGGCAGTTAAAAGAGGACTGAGGCATCTGATAAGGAGCGGCTTCCTTCCCATGTAACATGTGGAAGTAGGGCAGGACCTGCCAAAATCTCACACTTTGGAATATTCCAACCTAAATTATTATAC